TCAATTACATAAAGAGTTATGATCGATGGCACATATTTTTTTTGTTGTCAGTCTTATAACGATGGAAAAGAACAGAATTCTATGTTAGACAACTTCTCAATATGTAATGCTATATGTCAGTTATCTATATTACTAATTTTATTGAAATTTATCAATTCTTTCAAAGACTATGTTCATTGTTGTGGAAAGAAACCATCTATTATCCTTTGAAGCTAGAAATATCAATATTCGAGTAAATGAACTTATCTTTTGAATAAAAAAAAGACTGTAGATGTAAAAAAATTAGGAAGTAATTATCTTTTTAATAAGAAACAGCACAAAATTCTGTAGGCAGTTATTTGTAGGTTATAATGCTTAGAGCAACAACAAAAAAAAAAAAGGTGCCATTCATCATAACTCTCTTTGTAATTAAGCAATAATAGCACCGCAATGTCAACAATCTACATGCTTAGTGAAGTGTGTATACACAAATTTTTCAAATCTTCGGTCCATACATTGGCCGAAATTTTTTGTCCACTGTTGTATAGATTTTAATTAATAACAAAAATTCTATTTATTCAAAATCTAATGAATAAATAATGATTTATATATAATGTTTAGTTACTTTTTTTTTTTTTTACTAATTAAAATCAAACTTTATACATACATTCAATATAAAGTTGTTTTGTTGTTGATAAAATAAGTTTTTTATCAATGTGTTTCATATCAACTTGACATGTTATATTACGTCCATTGTCTAATGCTGTTAAACCAATAATACGATAGGCTTCATAAACACTTGGTTTAAATTGATCATTAACAATTGATGGTGTTTGAATACCATTTGCTAATGCCATAATTGTAGGTATTGTACCATTTTTATCTAATGATATATCTACTGCAGGACGAGGAGAACCATCAGCAGCACAACCAACATCCAATGATTCACCCTCAACCATAGCTAAACAATTATTATTTTCAATTCCACAAAATTCATTACTATGCACATGAGATGATGTATGCAGATTGGTCAAGTATACGTGTTGAACGGGTACTAGAGACAATAAACAAAAAAAAAGAAGGCTTCATTCTATTATGTTTCAATTATATATAGTGTATGAATAAAAAGAAATTTGAAGTGTGTGTGTGTGTGATTCCATTAATCATTAGTGGACGTTTCTTTCTTTTTCTTCGACAACCTACAAAAGTAGTTTATCTTGTTCAAACTATCTATCATTATAGAGTACAATTGCTCGATTGAGAATAAATCATGTATATAATAATAAAAAAAGAAAAAAAAACATGAAAAAATCTATGAAGAAAATTCTCTTAATAGAATATGATATGTTATGGATTAATGATAGAATTTATATGTCAAATAAAGACATTTTCATGCATAAATAAAAATACAATATGATTACATCATTGATAATAAGATATCTTTTAGCATTATGTTTTCTTTTTTATCTTTGAACTTACCATATACTTGAAGTTTTTGCCATTCAATATCATCTTGTGGACATTTATATTGACCACTATCACTTTCAATAACATTAGTTATTCGTAATAAACTTGTTCGATATGGATTTGAATAACGTTCATGTCTTGTTGGTTCAAGAATTAAATTTTTTTTACCATCAAAACTACGATATTCATAAGCATAAATAAATGTTGTACGATTGTCACATAATTCAATAGTATCACCACGTTTAACATAGATTATTGTTTGTTGACCATAAGTTAATAATATTAATAATATGACAAAAAAATAAAAAGAATAGAATAACATCAGATCATTATGCATAGTTCATCTAACAAATGGAATCAAATTGTGATTTCTATGAAAATGTAAATATAGATAGATGATGGATGTGTGTTTGTGCTTAGAAAATGGGTGGAGAAGATTGAAGAGTATTTGTTCAAAAGAAAAGATTGATTATATGAATGATAGAAGAAGAAGAAGAAGAAGAAGAAGAAGAAAAAAAAAGGAAAAAGAAGATCCTCTACTATTATCATCAGTCTATAAATTTTGAAACAGGTAGTAAGTAATAATAATCTATTATTATTATATATATATAGTAAAAGCAGGAAAGATGAAATGAAACTAATTATCTAAAGCAAGAAAAAAAAAGAAAAAACGTCTGCTATCAACCTTGGGAATAGAAAAAAATATAAGAGAAAGCGAATAAAATCGTTTTCTCTTTTTTATATGTGCTCTATGATCATCATTCTAATCGGTTTGCATTTTGATCATGTATGCGAGAGAAAAGAAAAACCCGTCGGGTTACATACGACACTTAACGATCCGCTCACGCTCAACTATTAGTAATTGGTGCCGTCGATTACAGACCGCGCACGCTTCCCGATTTTATACACAATGAATAGTATATTTTTTACTGTTCGTTTGTGTTACCCGTATATATATATATTTGTTTGTAAGAACAGTAGGAGTAATAAGAGGAAGACGATGATGATGACGAACTGCTGACCGTTCATATTGCACAACAGTGAGTGTCAATGACATACATACGGTCGACTTGTAAGAGCAGAAGAGAGAGAGAGTATAAATTTGCAGAAATGATGACTGATACGATAACACGATTATGTGCATGTATGCGTATGAGAAAAAGTGCCAAAAATAATAATAATATCCGTGAATCTAATAGGCAAGAGCGAACATTATTATACACTTAATGCCTCGAGAAAAAGAAAAAAAATGAAAAATTTTGCAAGCAAAAAAAAAACGCGTACGATCACATACCTATGAATGTCAGAAAATACATATTGACCATCAGCATATTAGATTAGATATTTATTCCTGATGTTTTTTTTTCTGCTACACCCCAAATTAACAGAAACGATAGATAAACATATAAGAACAGTATAGATAATGATCTGAGAATAGTTCCTCACAATTTGTACATACACAACACGATGACGAACGTACTGTTTTTTTCCACGATATCGTGATACTATTATTTTTCTCTTATTCTTAGCATGGTACTATTATAGAACGCAAACAACTATACAAGCACACTCATATCAAACGCAGATGCCATAAGTACATCTTCTTCGACGATTTTTTTTTTTCTTTTTCTCATATCTATTCTACTTGAAAAAAAAAAGGATGACCACGATCATTCATATACTATTAAGACAAGCGAACAAGCAATGAGTGAATGGATGGATGGATGGATGGATAGCGTTGATTCTTTTGTCTCTCTCTCTGTCTCTCTCTTTTTTTTTTATTTGTTGTCGCTGCATCGATGTGCATTTGCTGCCATTTCTCAGTATGTTGAAATGTACACACACACGCACACAAAGAAAGAACGACAGACAAAAGAACAAGATGAAAAAATCGTGCACACACGGTTGATAGATGAATTTGGATAATGAAATGAGTCAACCAAACGATGCATATACCGACTGTTTAAAGCACGTTCATTCATACTTTATAAGAAAAACAACAAAAAGAAGAAAAAAAAAGGAAATCATAAAGCATAAAACATACAAAAAAAAGGATATTGTCATATAACATGAGAACGGCAATAAGTTCTTAACTAACTTGACGAGTCTATGTTAGATATGACACTATTATCAATTGTCCATATTCATCTAACGAAATACTCATGTTTGCCCTTTTCATTTTTATTCAAGAGATATTAGTTCGAATCAACAGAATATCTCGCTTTTTTTTATTATTATTATTCAAAGTTTCAACTTTTTTCAAGTAGATCTAAATTTAATTGTTTGCGTTTGTATATTATTTAATTAATTCTCTATCGAACGGAATCATGTTCATTCAATACAATGTCATGAAAAAAAAAGTCCTTCAGCATTAGATTCGAAACTAAAACTAATTCAAGTGGTCACTTTGCAAACAACTCGTCCGAATGATGATGAAGACAAAATCTACATATGAACGCACGCAAGTTAATGACATACTAGTGATGATAGTTGACGAGATGAAGAAAAAAAAAAAAAGAAACATTCAATTTGATTAGTTGCATGTCACTCACATTGATCGATGAGAACATCTCGATGCTTACTCACAGTGAACCATCAGCGTTTTACTGGTACTGTTACATAAGTTTTTGTGTGTGTGCGTGTCTATGTCGTATATACAGACAATAAACGATCGAATTACACACTCGACATACACACGAGAGAAAAAAGACGTACCTAACGCTCCTATAGAATCGATATATTTATAGTACGCTAAAAAGACACAAACAATCAAAAAATGACTTTTAAAATTTTTTTTTTAACACTATTATCGTTCATATCATCATTTTCATTGAAGTGCCTCGATTTTTTCTCTTTTTTTTTCTGTTGTCGATTAAAGGTTTCGAATGTCTGCAGAAGAAATTAAAAAAAAAAAAGCGATGAAATAAAACAACTTTACTACCCTTTTTATCAATCGAGTAGGAGTACGTATATATATATGTATTAATGTGCATTTTGCGGAGTTCTTAAGCGAATTGGTATAGTCTTTGAATCAACAATCTTGCTGAAAAGAACGAATAAAAAAGTCACAAAAAATTCCAATCATCCATGAATTATTTATTTATATAAATACATAAAATTCAAATATAATTGGTTAATAATTGAGCCAATAAAAATCGATCAATATTTTTTTAGATGAGTGCATTAATGATTATAAAATCATTCTTTGGGTTTTTTTTCGTATTTCAGATTTATTTACTTTATAAGTTCTATCAGTTATTCACAATTATTCATATATTAATTTTATTATTGCTCAACAAAGAATATTTTCAAGAAAAAGAAAGAAAATCCATAAAAAAGAACACAGAACGAGCAAGATATTATTGTGTGTTTCCTATTGTCACGTGCGTTTTTACATACATATTTTGATTATTGGTATGATGTGGACGTTGTTTCTTTTTTGGTAAATAATCATGTATAATTTTTTTTTCTGTGTATTTTACCTCATGAATATTCTTTTATATTCTAGATGGATTTTCTATCTATGACTCATCGATTGTTAATTCACTGCTGTGATGAAACGCAATGCTCACACGGCAAATTCCTCTTTAAACGAAACTAATAATAATAATAATAATTCTTCTAAACGTTGTTGCATTGAAAAAGATAATAAAAATTGTGTTGCAAGGTAGAAATTAATTTCTATTTCTATTTCTTTAGAATATTTTCTTTTTAAAAGTAATTCATTGACTGCATCTTCATCAACAATTGATAATATTTCGTGTTCATTGGTTTCATCATCAACATCAACTGATTTATTAAATATGGAAGAAAATATGGAAACATTAATAAATATGGGCTTTACTGATCGAGAATTAAATCGTAAAGTATTAACTAAAGTTGGAAATGATATTGCTGAAGCTGTTACATATCTTACGGGTTCAACGTTTTTTAATGATGATGCTATTATACCAAATGACACAAGAACAATATCAACATTTATTGGTCCCCTTACAAAAGAACAAATGGAACAACAACAGCAACAACCACAACAAATTGTAAAATGAAGAATTTATTTTATTTTGTGTTAAAATATAATTTTTTTTTTCAAGATTCCCTTGGATAATAATAATTCAAATATATCATCCGATGATTTATCAATGAGTAATTCAAATTCATTTACAACTACTGCTTTTCTTGATCTTGAAACAAAAGTCTATGGAGATAATTGGTCAATTCCTTATAAACGTAAATTTAATTCAAATGAATATTTCCAATAAAATTTTTTTTTCGTTTTTTTATTTAGGCGAAGAAGTTCTCGGCCGATGTCTTTTATCCGCTACTAGACTTGCACTTGCAGGTTAATTGAATAATTTCTATAAAATCTTGTTTATTCTTTTTTTTTTTTGATTTATAATATTTATAGGTATCGCTGATCAAGATGAACACTGTAAAAAATTTATGGAAATTTTAATCCCTGATGCATTTCGAAAAGTATTTAAACAAAAAAAATCTTTCTTTTGAAATTTTTTTTTTTTTTTTTAATATTTTAGTTACAATGTTCTCATCATGTTAATAATTGGGGTGTTGAAGTTCAATTAGGTGTATTCGATATGGTACAATTATTAATTGATTTAATTGCTGCACGTCTATCTTATTCTCCAGTCCCTATACAATTACTTGAAACCTTAGCTATACTTTTTGATCATGATTCAGTTTTTCAACGCAAACATAAAAGTAAATCATATGATCGTACACTTTATGATAAACAATTAGGTGAACGTATATTGGCTAATTCATCATCATCAACATTTTCTGTTTATAATCGAAATGAACCATATGGTTGGTTATGTGAAATAATAAATCGTTTTGTTTTAAAAGATGGTATACAAAATTTAAAAGGACAATTTAAAAATGAACAACCATTAACAGCTCTTGTAAGAATTAAAATTCTTTTTCTTACTGTTCCGTTTTTTTCTTTTAATCAAATCAATTGATAATCATAGGAATACAATGCATTACTCTCACCATTTGTTAATTGTATGGATTATATATTCGTTGATAAATATCGACAATTATTTAGTGAACATATTGAACAAGCATTAGACTATGTTAAAAATTTAAAAGAAGAAGACTTTAAAGCAAAAGTTTGTTAGATTTAATTGTTCCTTTTTTTTTTATTTATTTTAAATAAAATTATTTTTTTTTTGTTTATATAAAATTCTTAGTCAACAAATTCAATATTTGAATTACTTACAACTTTACGTAAAATATGTTCAGTTGTATGGACTAATCGTCTTGCACAAGTTGAAGAATTACATTTAAATTTATTACTTAAAATGGTTGCTCTATCAAATTTTAATGCAAAAATGAATTCATTAAAAGAAGTGAATAAAAAAAGAAGAAATTCTAATTAAAATTCATTTAATCCTTTTTTTAAGCTTGCAAAAATAATTGAAAATTGTACATCAAATATACAGAGTATAGCTAAAGCATCTATTCCACGTGATATTGTTAGCGAATGGGTTATTGAACATTCTATACTTTCAAAAGCATTAGAAGGTAGAATAAAATTTTTATTGTTTGTATTTATTTATTTATTTATTTATATTGAAATTAAAATAGGAAATATTGATCAAAATCAATATGTAGAAAAAGTTCGAACATTAATGGATTTTATTGCACCAAGAATTTTAAAAGAAGATATTGAAACTATATGGAATATGCAGGTATTTAAAGAGAATTTATATAATTAAATTTTCAGTATTGTTATATTCTATATTTAAACATTCACTACTATTGAAAACTAAAAGTAGCGAAAGACACATGAAGAACAAAACTTCTCGAATTTCAAGTAAATAATTTCATTGGCAATTCAAGCTGAATTCAGTTTTGAATCATTTGTAAAAAGACCTAAGAAAAGTACGATAGAGAACAAATGAGAGTTAATGTACTTGTAAACATGTAAAAATCACATTCGACAAGAAAGAAAACAATAAGTGAAAGTATTCTTATTAGAATTCGTTGGGTTCAAAATTTTCGGACTCGAGTTCGGTTAATAGAAAAATTTCAGATCCAGGACTAACCTGACATGCTCTATTGCTTACTAAGTTGGATTCGGATGGAAAATAAGCTTTCACATATGCTTTGTGAACCTCATTTACTTAAGCAACAGTTCGATTTGTTGACTGACGTTACCGCTATACTTTACTAATGAGAGAACCTCGCCAGATGCTAAAAAGCTTTTGATCTCAAACTTTATCCAAAGGTAGGCGATGTATAAAATAGAAAAACCCTAAGAGAATTTGGAGTCAAGTTGCGATATCGACTTTTTTACTGAAGTCTTCTGATAGAACTCGAGTTTTCCATCAGACTAACTTGCCTACAAAGTTTCAGAATTTCTGAGTGAATTATCTCCGAAATATGGATCTTCCAAAATATTCGTGCATAACACATCAGAGATGGAACCGGTACCAGTACGGATTTCAGATCGGTCGGTCTGACATTTTGAAACTGGTATCGGTATCAGTCCGTCAAAAATTCATACCGATTCTATCTAGTATACTATCTATAAGAAGCGTCTATAAGCTAACATACTGATATCTCGGAGATAGTTCATTCAGAAATTTTGTAAATAAGCTAGTCTGGTTGACATCTCGATGTATGTAAAATTTCAGGTCAAAACTCGAAACTTTGATTTTACCGAAAAAGTTAATTGTAACTTGATTCTATATCCTCCTTACAATTTTTCTCGTCCGTACATCTCCTACCTGTAGACAAAATTTGAGCTGAAAATCGCTTTATCACCTAGAGAGAGGTTTTCTCGTAAGTGTTCGAAAAGGTATATCGAAAACTGCAGAGTTTTATCTAGCATCGGATTGGGATCCGGGCAGATCTCAGGTGGTTATATCAGAGTTAACAATGAAGAAATCCTATAGTATTGTTTTTCTTTTTTTTTATCTTGAACTGAAAATCCGAAGGCAATTATTGAGAATATGAATTTTGTTTCTTCTATTTTAGCATGGTCGATCGTTAGTTGCAGTTGATCATTTATTTACATTAATTGCATCTGCAGCAGCAAAATTTAATTTAGAACAACTTAATCATCTTATTGGTTTTATTCATAATGTAATATTTTTGTTTTTTTTTTGTTTTCCCATCATTAATATTATTTTTCTAGTCATGGAAAATTGAAACAATTCTTATACAAGAAAAACTTATTGAATTACTTGGTGCTATTGGTCGAGAGTGTCAAAAAGATTCTGCTGCTCGTGTTTTAGAAATTTTATGGGATATGGTACATGAAGATCGACTTAGTCGTTCAATGCTTGATCATCTTTTACATTGTCATTTACGTGTATTTAGTGAAGGTCGTTCACCATATGATGCACTTAAACGTGATTATTGTCTTAAATGTATGACTGATTTACAACGTAAACAAGGTTGGCTTGTACCAGCTATAAAACATTTATATGATTTATTACGTCATGATTCAACAAATACATTTAAACGTTCGGAACCTGATCTTATATCAATATTAGTTAATAAACATGATGTTATATCAGCATTAATACAAAGTTTATCAACATGTCAATTAGATGTTTGGAATAAAACACATGGACATGTTACAATTGATACATTAGTTGATGGTCGTTTTACACATGAAGAATCAATTAAAACACATTTAGATTTATTATCATTTTTATTAAAAAAAGGTAATCTTTATTTAATATTAAAACGTAGTGAAGAATTATGGGATACATTAATAACAAATGAAAATGCAAGTCCATTTGATCGTGAACTTGGTTTAAATTGGTTTATAACATGTGTTGAAGATCTTAGTCGTGATTCTCAAATAGCTTTATTTGAAAAACGTGTATCAAAACTTGATCCAATACATATATCACCTAAAGGTAAAAAAAAACAAAACATTTTTATCTTTTATTATTTTTCGTCATATTTTTTTTTATAATTATTATAAGGTTATGCTTGTTTTAAATTATATTTTGAACGTTGTAATTTGGAACGATGGAGTCAATCAAGAAGTTTTAATTATAATTCAAATGCATCAACATTATTAAATGTAAGAAAATCTAAGATTATATATAATAGGAAAAAGAAGATTATCTTGTTTTATTTCATATAAAATAATAAACCGATGGATATTAAACATGATCTAATAGTTTATTGATATATGATAGTTAAATGAATAGAAGTCTGTATAAAACCGACTATATGCTTGTCATTACAGAATGAGATATTTGTAAACTTGTAGAAAACGAAGATGCGTTTTTTCTTTTGTCTGGAAAGACCTACACTAATTTCGATGGTATTGTCCTACATTTGTAACTTACTTGTTGTTTATCACACGGAATATACAAATTAGTTAAGAAGTTTTCAGATGAAATCATTCATCTCCTGGATATGCTCTAATGAACATTAATAGACAATACTAATCATACTTATCAATATGAATAGACCATGTAGAAATGCACGTGAACGCTTGTTGACTAACTAAAGTTCGTCCCGACCTCGGTAACATTTATTGATAACAAGTACTCGAGTCATGTCCTTTTAGATATGTAACATTAGGGACATATAGTACACTGATAAAACTAGTCAATCATAGAGTATTTCAAATTATATGTGAAGACTAATTAGTGGTGTATGATTTACAATGCTTCGAAAATAGAAAATGATAAGAGCATGAAAAAAAATAACTCGATAAATATAGTTTAAACTAATAACAATTTCGTATATGATACTTATTTTATCAATTGAGATTCCTATGGATCTCAGATGTACATCAAATAGTAGTTCTAGAAGTCATCGTGGTAGAATTAATAGTAGTATCTATTGTTCTAAGTTTGTAATCATTGTTTTCATACGTGATGAGATATTTTAATTCTAGGGTAGGTTTCTTATGGCATTATTATATAGAGTCTATCTGACGAGAGAACTACTCCAACAATAATTCGCTGTTTGAATTCATATTAAACCCACAAGGAGGACCAGAAAAATCTTAAAGTGATTCTTGCCTATGGACTTCTGAAGTCGATCTTTGGAATATCATGAAAATTTCAGCCTAAAAAACGTTTCCTGAATGAAGATGTTGAATTTTTAAACATGTCTGTGATAATCGGTTATTTATTAGAAATCCAATATTTCAACAAATGAACATTCTTTTCAACTGACACGTTTAGTATATTCCAAGGGTCATCAGATCCATCTATAGACAAAATTTCATTATTTAACTTTCCAACTCCAGAGACCTATGGATAGGAACCCTTTTTCTAGTCTTATCCAAACTTGTAGACTCAATATGAACTCAAACGGCGGCCTACAGTTCAGGTAGTTCTCTCGTAAGCCCTTATCTATCTAATATAAGATGAACTCAAGCCTTTGTCTATATTGGCGTTAGCCTACTCAGACTTCATGGCTCCACCATCTCTGACTGCATTAATAATATAATAAAAAGTCGAAATTCTTGAAAATGAATTAATCTATTATTGTATTGAATATTTATTTATTTATTTATTTTTCTTTAATAGAATGAAATGTTAGATCATCAATGTATTGATGAATTATGGAATATAATTTTATGTGTTGGTGATGATAATCTTGCTAATGATGCAACACGTTTTTTACTTGATTTATATTATACAAAACAACCAAATCGTACACGTCGTCCAACAGCTCAATCACTTCATGAATGTTTTTTAAAAGAAGTTTATACACGTTTAAGTTCATTACTTATACATGCTATACCACCATCAATATCATTAACATCAATAATTGAACAATATTATAAATCATTAAAACTTTTTGGTGAACAATTAATAACAATTGATAATTCAATAAATTTAAATGAATCATCAATTAATATTGATCATCAATTATGGTTACAAAATATTGAACGTTTATTTATGATAACAGAAGAATATATTCATATTGTTGAAAATGAACGTTCACCAACAGCTCATATAACATCATTTCATGGTTTAGAATATCAAATAAAGATAATTCTTGGTGAATTAGGTAAAACAAATTGTCCATATGATATAGTTATTGTTCATTCAAATGATACACTTGAAATGTTACGTACACGTCTTGGACTTTATTATAAAGTTCCATCACATGATATACATATATCAATACAAAATACACGTCCATTACCTCAATCTTATGATAATTTAAGTCCAATTAATAATGCTATTGCATTACCATCAAATGCTTCATCATCAACAAATAATAATAACAATAATAATAATAACAATAATAATAATAATAATAATAATGTTCTTGGTTTATGGTTAAATTCAAAATATTTATATCAAGTTCATATAACACCAGGTACAACAGTTTATATAAAAATTTTAGGAAATACATTTAATCAATCATTAATAAAAGCAAATAATACTGAACCAATACGTTTATTTTTATCACATTCATCACATAATAATATTGATAATGATAGTTTAACACGTTTAACACCATCAAATATGATGGCAGAAAATCCAAAAGTTTATGATATTTTATATAAATTATCATATTTAAATAATAAAAATATACATAATCGTATAAGAAATCTTCTTCGTTTAATGCCATCTGATATACGTATTGTTGATTTACTTGATTTAATATCTATACGTGCTGCAAATGTATCAACAAATGAACGACGACAATCAACTGAAACAATAAATAATCAACAAATAAATCCAAAACAAGCAATTGAATATGTTTTTAATTTTGATGAATGTAGTTTAATAAAAATTTTATATAATTTAGAAATTTTATCAAGTAAAATTTTACCATTATCAAATAATATTGGTATAAAACAAAGTTCAAAATTATTTCGACAAGATTTTATTGAACATGAAGGTGTTGAATTTTTATTTAAATTATTACAATCATTAAATTATCTTATACATGATGATTATGAATATTTATTATGTCAAGAAATAACAATATTAATATTACAATTAATACAATTATTATTATGTGGAAATAATCCAACAGAAGATATAATATTATCAAGACCAAATTCACCAATAGCTATAACAGCAAATGATAATATTCTTGATACAATTGATTTTGATTTTCAAGCAACTATTGAACATTTACAATTTGAAGAATTTATTGGACAAATAAAACAATTAATTTTTTTATGTTGGGCAGCTGCTGCTGGAAATATACGTTTACAAGAACAAGTTTTAAATATAAAAGAACAAGTTAAATTAGATCGTCATGTTTTATTACAACAAATTAATGCAAATGTTTTTTGTCGAAATAGTAGTAAAAATTCAACATCAAGTGATTCATCAATTAATAATAATACTAATACTAATAATAATAATAATAATACTAGTAATAATATACAAAATACTGTACAATTTGGAATTTGTGTTAAAAAAGATTCAATTTTACCATTGGATAGTGAAATAGCTGAGAAAATTATTGATATTGTTATGTATTGCTTTGAAAAACGACCTGAATTTATTGGTAAGTATGAACATATAAACAAAGTTTATATTTCAAATGGATCGTAAAAGTTTAAGACACTTTTACTTTTGAAGTTTTTCATCGAAAATGAGTAGCTAGGTCATATCAAAATAGTGATTTGGATAGCTCTTGAAATTTTCTATCGAATATAATATGTGCCAAATTTTCAAAAGAAACTTTGTGAAGAGAGTTTTACAGAAAACCGTACCAGGGGAGGATTGCAAATCTTAGAGAATCTTGACAGAAAGATTTTTCAATATAAGTATCTGAAAGAACAGAAAATTCTGAACAAAATCAAGGATCGTCCAGCTCTGTACGATATTTGGTCACAAAGTAATAGGTATTGGAAAAAAATAAGCCCTACAATTCGATTAAAACCACATTTTTTCTAATGCTTATAACTTTGTGACGGAATATCGTACAGAGCTGGACAACTGTTCCAATAGAGTTCCAAGTGTA